TACACATGTAATTCTTGACGTCCTTAATCCAAAAATACCTTTCTGGATCCCTCTAACATCATACAGTATAATTTATCACATTTATAATCATCAAACATGTATAACATGCCTTTCATCCACGTTTTATATATAATTACGGCATAAACAAAATACTTGATTATCTTTAATCATTCCATAAAAAATATTCTTGACTACTTTAGGTAATCTCATGGTTCACGCAGAAGTTATAAAGCATAAAGCCGTCTTCTCACCTTAATGAAGGTTTAATGCGTTCTACCTTTCTTGGTTGAACTCCGGCGAAACTCCGACAAGCTTTGTTGAACTCTGGTGAAACTCCGGCGAACTATTCCAACTCCGTGGAAATACTAGGAACACCTTAGACAAGTTCCTAATAAGGTTTTATCATCACAAAACCCATATTAATACAAATAACCTCTAAAAGGTTATTTTCCGGCGAACCGGACACTTTAGCTTCTAAGTCCGTTCTTGGACTTAGAACTACCTTCCTACCCCTCATTCTACACTTCTAAACATGTAGAACAATCCTAGGTGTCCTTCATATGATGTGAAAGTCATATGATAAAAAGGATTGAAGAAAAGTTAGCAAAAAGCTTCTCACCTTTATTCCCAAGGTTTTTCTTTACTTTTGCAACTCTTTCTTCTTGATTTAGCTTCTTGCTTGTTTGAGCTCCCTTGAAAAATGGAGATGGGGGTTTGAAGAGCTTTTTCTCTCTTTCCTTGGTGGCTTGGGTCGAGCATATGGGATATGAGAGTGATTGAGAATGCCTTTTTGGCATTTCTCATAATAATGTGAGAGAGGGGTCCCATTTCTTTATATTTGTTTGGCCTCCAATCAATTATTGTTTCTTTCCCATCTTTTTGTGCGGCTCCCCTTGAAATTTGAAAGGCCAAAACGTGGATTGGCCCCCATTTATGTGGGATGTCAACCCTTTGTGTCCCTGAGTGTACAATTGGTCCCAAAAGTTGTATGTTTTGGACTCTTTTAATTATATTTTATTTTATCGGGTCAAATGAAATATAACACATGGTCTCCATCATTATTGAACCTTATAATGAATATAAATTTCCCAAATTTAATTTAGAAGTCTCCGAAATTTCTTTTCGGGCTGTTATATGATAAATTGCCGATACTGATAATTGGGTCTCATTTGACCAACTGGTCAACCCTATGCCTTTGCCACGACCCAATTAGGATATACACCACCATATACATATTATCTAGGCCAATATTAATCTAATATGACGTCTCGAAAATATCGGGCGGTCCCACTTCCGGTGTGGGCTCCACGTGAATTTTACTACTCACGTAAAAAGGAAGTGATAAAAATTTACGATCACGAGAAATGTGTTTACTCATTTCTCAGGGTTCAATACATAATTTGATAAGGTACAAATACTTGGGGGGCGATGTTACAGAATGGTGACCAAATTGCAGCTTGAAATGCAATCCTTGAAATCGGTCATGCTGGTGAGGTGAGGTGTTGCCTTTCTTTTATGCTCATGATCATTAGCTATTGCGGTGAAACCCCCTAACATCTAGTGATATTTATTATTTGCAGCCCAGGAATTAAGGAAAGCCTATAGATCTCTCCTTTTAATGCAGAAATGAGCCCCATATATGGAAGTAAACCAGAAAGACATGGATCCAGAGGCAATCTTCATATGAGTATACTATTTCACATAAGTGATATGAAAAATAGTAATAGATGTGTCATCCTAGGATAACCATATCTTATTATCTTGGCAACAAAAGAATTTTTGCATTCCAATGTCCATAGAAATAGAGACAATTTTAGAAGCACCAATAATAGGTTCAATATTGATAAGTAAATGAATTCTCCACTGGCTAATGAGATCCCGTATCCTTGGACAGGAAGAAACAAGGCCACTGACATTCCAAACTAGACAATTCATTAAGGGAGGGAAAAAAAGTGTGCGACAACTTCTTAGTTATATTCCTGGTAAGTTCAGGAGTATCTGGGACCACCTCATAGTGTTGTTTTTTCTTTTTCCTTGCAACTTTTATAAAACAATGATCATCATCTTTAGCATGTGCACCTACTGTTTGCAGGTTATCACCTGCTTTCTGCTCAGAAGATTTCTAAAGTAGTAGGGAAACGTTTCAGGTGAGTCCTGTCGGTCCATCCTTCCATTTTTGGGTGTTATCTAAGAAGCAAAAATCTCCATCGGAGTACCCCTTAGCTGAAAGTGCAGGATCATATTGCTCTCTTTCTATTAGATTTAAAAATGGATAATCATCTACTGCTCTATCCCCCTCAAATGTAGACGATTTATCAATGATGGGTTGATTATCATGTACTTCCAAGTGTTATTTAGAGACATTAATTATATCATTCCTTTCAACTGCGGGCATCACTGCAGGTTGTACACTAATGGGATTCAAGATCTCATCAGTATATACCTCCTCAGTTTCAGAGTCATCTTCAGGGTCTTTGAAGTAAAGGGGATACAATTCACCTCCTTGTCTTTCGTTTTTTTCCTTGTCTTTCGCTTTATCAACATCGATCCCTTTAACAAGATTACTCCCTATAACATATGTAATATTTTTCTCCATTTCCCCGTCAGTAATTCTGTAAATCTGTAAGGGTGGTCCTGTCAGTTTGAGCTTTTCCACCCACTTATCAGCTATAGCTCCATTCCAATTGACCCCATTTGGAATTTTACCTTATCTTGTTAAGGTCTTCTTAGGACAAGTTGCATCCAACTAACCCAGGTGTAGTCATCGGCCATAGTATAACGACTGATTTCATATCCCACATTATGGGAAAAACCAACTGATCCACATTGGATCCACAACTTCTTTGGCATTTCTTTGGAAAGATCCACCTCAACAAAAACCCTAGCCACAGACGGCTTGGCCAAAGATGTTGTAGCAACATCTAATTTCAAAGGTCTACCAACCAAACCAGCAATATTGAAAAGTGCACGCTTGTTATGCAAATGTATAGGTAGATTTTCAAAATTTAACTAAATTGGGACAATAAGGGAATCGACATTTGGCCTGAAATCCATTTAGTAACACACAACACGTTACCAAAGATATCCCACGTTTGACGATTCCAACATCGAATATGGTCATCCTCCAGATCAAATCGAATTAAAATATGTTTCCGCTCCAGAATCCGTAAATGAAACATATCTTTGAAACCAATAAAATCAAATGCTTTTCGAAGGGAGATCATAGGCGGCCTGCCATTGAAAACATAACCCCCCAAAGCCTTCTTATGCTTTGCAGCCAGGGCCTGGACTTCCTCCTCCGGAAACGCAATAGCTAGAAGGCATGCCTTTAAACCTAGAGGAGACCTTAATCAAGAGTGGTGGGGATCAGAGGAATCCACAACCATAGAAGCAAAAGAGAGACCACCCCACGCCTTCTTCTCCGACGGAGAGGGAGGCGGCACCCCCTTCACTGCAACCGCAGTCATCATATTGAGATCGCCAAAATTGCCGCCCGTAAAACCTCAACACATCATTATATCTCACCCATAGAGTCATAATAACCATAATACTAATCTATCTATATTAATATAAAGTAACAAGGCTTGCCTGTCAATAAAATTATCCATGGATTTAAAAGTCAATAGACTTCATTCATAAAAAAGTTTATGGATTTAAAAGTTCATAGACTTTTGATAGCTTCCCGTTAGACCACTAGCGATATTTATACTACTCCTTCTATCTCATTTTACCTGTCTTACTTTCCTTTTTAGGTTGTCCCCAAATAAGTGTCACATTTCCTTGTTTGGAAAGAAATGTATGGTTCACATCATTTCACTTTATCATACTCAAATTTCAACCACAACTTTTACCTTTTCAACCATTTTATTAACAATTGTGCCAAAATCAAATGAGACACATAAAATGGGACGAAGATAGTGGTAGTTAATGAATCAGTGCATTACACGTGTTGGCTATTCTATGGGCGAGAGCCCTGAGCCAAGTGTTCTCTATTGGCCGAGGTGACGTTGGCTGAGGTGCATCCCAGGTCTGGTGTTGTCCTTGTTCGTGAGCGATTTGTCTGGGATCTCTGATCGAGATGACATGTCTGGGGTGGTGCACAAGGTGATGATACAGATAATGAGCATATTTCTCCATTCCGGACATGTCGTGTGTGGATCCAAGAGTGTGTGGGCCATGGATCTGTGCCCATATAATCTATCAACTTTTTTAAAAGTCTATGATTAGAAAATGTTTACCACAATCCATATTCAATACAACCCCTTAGATTTGCGACAACAGATTTGCTCGAAGGTGTATCAAGCCTAGTTCGTATGATGAGTCCCAGTGCTAAGACGCATGTCATCGACAAATGTAACTTTAGTTCACTACTACTACCTCCGTCCCGTTAAAAGGTTTGCATGACAAAATGACACAATTATTTAGACAATAATTAGATAATATAATTTGAGTATGTTTTGAGAAATAATTCTAATAGGGATATGTAATATAATGTGGTTAGTATCGATAACTGTGATGTTATAAATTTATTATGTTTGATTAAATTATCATTTAAGATTGTTAATTGTTTTCTAAAATAAAAATGAAAACCTTTATATGAGACGTCCAAAAATTGAAAGTGAGAAACTTTATAAGGAATGAAGAAGTAGTAATTTTGTTATTTAATAATACGTACATGTTTTATATTAAAAAACATAGTATTCATATTTGGAAAATTCTCGCTTGGATCCTATTTAGAGAATGAATCATTCTTGATGTACACACTTTTGTACATGTACATTGACAATTGAGAGACAAATGATGTATTCGGAACGAATGTATAAAAAATGTATAAAAGTGTACACATATATTTTTTGTCAGACAAAGTGTCCACACAAATGAGGAATGACAATTTAGGATTTGACTGCGGGTAGCTTGGTACTACGGATTTGTATTTTGTGTACAGTTGGGGCTTGGGATTCGCTTGTTAGCTTCCGCGTCATGCACTCACCCACCCCCACTCACCCACCCGCCAAAGTCCCATCGCGCCATCAATCACCGAGCAGACACTTACTGATTCCCCAATTATATAGTGACGAGGAGGGTGGACTAAAATGGGAAGGATGTCAGCTGTCGGGAGTAACGGAGGCGCCACTGGTGGCGAAGCATGGAAAGCTCATGCTGCAATGGCGATTATTCAGGTCTTCTATGGAGGATATCATGTGATAACCAAAGTCGCTCTCAATGTTGGGGTTAATGAGCTCGTCTTCTGCGTTTACCGCGATGTCATAGCCCTTTCCATTCTCGTCCCTGTAGCCTACTTCCGCGAACGGTTAGGAAAAAAAGCATCTTTTATTTGTGGAAATGATGGTGATTGATATATGTAAGCCATAAACATGTAAGCAATAAAGCTGTGTAATGGGCATAGGAAGTTTTGAGGTCGCAAGCATTAGTAATGCAAGATCAATCCAGTAGACCTATTATTCATGCATATCTAACCTTTTGCTATTCACAAAAGCAAATTACTAGGAAAAGCGAACATTACCAGACAATCCGAGTATATTTCAATTAGAGGAAATCATAAAATGACTATATCAGTGAACTTCAAGATCTCTTCAACCTCCTCGTCACAGCTGCATTGAATACCGAAGAAATATGAGGCCTGATTAACATCTGTAAGGTTGAACAGATCTTGAAGTCATTTCAATGCAAAAAAACAGTATTTGTGGCAGTATGATGTGCCAGATGTTTCTTAATTTCTGCTGTTTTGAACTGCTTTTTATTTCCTTGTATTCCTACCTTGAATAAGTTGGGCTTTAGTTCCAACTACGATATGTGTTGTCGTTGAGTGCAACGTATTGTTGAATCCACAAAAATGTAGAGATAATATCACAATCATGTTTTGGGCCTGATTTGTAAAATTGTTTACTTATGATGGCTGTGGACAGTGGTTTGTGCAAACTTCTACGTTTCACCTGTTTGATGCGCTCAGATGGTGTGCTTTGTATTAATATGTTATTATTATGAATTTATTATGATGATCAAAGGAAAACTTGCATGGATTTTTCTTTGTTGTTTACAGAAGGTTGAGACCTCCTTTAAATAGGCAGCTGCTAATGTCATTCTTCATCCTAGGACTAACTGGGTAAGTTAAAAAGGCTCGGAGTTGTTTAAAAGTGATTATTGTTCTTCAATTTATGATTATGTCCTTAATTGGCACAATATTTCTGGAACAGGATTTTTGGAAACCAACTTTTGTTTATGATTGGTCTTGGATATACAACTCCTTCTTATGCTGCAGCCATACAACCTGCTGTACCAGTCTTTACATTTATTTTGGCTGTGGTCATGGGGTGAGTTCAACAAGTGATCTTAATTTGTCAGTGAATGAACTATGACGTATGAACTATGCTTTCAAATGCTAGAAATTTAGACAAACAAAGAGGGATTGCTCACTTTGATCCTTTCTTCATTTTGTTTTGTTTTTGTTTTCCTTGTTTTTGTTTTGTTTTGTTTTGTTTTGTTTTTATATCAAATAATCAAGAAGTCATTTCATCGTTTTTGTAATACTCTGACATATTACAATGCTTGTATGAATAAGAATTTGGTCTATGTAGTGTGTACATAATTTTTCTCAGAGTACGGATGTACCTTTAGTTTTGGAAATCATACAAAATAAAGCGTGATAAGGACAATTCTGATCACTCGGTTATGTTAAATCCAGGAAAAGTTGTTTATTTTTCGTTTCACCTCTGGAAATGCACAAAAAGTAAAAATGATTAAATTATTTTTAAAATATGATATTTGAATTTCATAGTCCTCCTATTATAGAAATAAAAAAATTAAGCAAATGTGAACCAATGTCTTCCTAACTTTCTTTCCTTACAATTTTATTCTCTATTTTCCTCCCTATTTTCTTTCCCTATTATTTCACCAGTTCCAAATAACCCTAGTTATTAAATACAAGGGTGTATACTAAGCATTTCAGGTGTGCAACTTGCTTAGTTTAATAGGGATGCTAGAGGCTGTCATTGGTTCTTTTTAATATGCACAGGGGTAGAGCCAAGGGGGCTCAGGGTGGTCAGCTGACCCCCCCCCCCGAAAGTTCAAGAATAAAGAGCACTAAATTACCTTCGATTTGATATATTATGGCTCCCGTACCTCATTACGAGTAAAACGTTATGACTATGGATGGACTCGGGTCCGGGCCGGGTCCGGGTCGGGCCTAGGCCCGGGCGGGCCGGCGGGTCAGAAATGGTGGACCCGGGACCGGCCCGGGTAACCACCGGGTCCGGGCCCATTATATTTTTTTTTTGTTTTCCTCTTCCTAATTAACCCCTCTCCCACCCCCAACCCCCCAAACCACCTCAAATGGCCCAAAATACCCAGCCCAACCCGAAAATTTTAAAAAAATTGAAAAAAAAAATAGTTTTTGGCCCGAACCGGGCCCGGGCCCGGCCGGGTCGGGCCTTGTTTTGGGTGACCCGAGCCCGGACCGGAAAACCCACGGGCTGGGCCTACCCGGACCGGTCACTGACCGGGCCACTGGGCCGGGCCGGGCCGGAACAGTACCGGTCCCGGGCCGGTTCCGGGTCGGGCCACCCGGCCCGAGTCCATCCATAGTTATGACTCTTGGAAAATCAGCACTATCTAAAATTGAGATGAGTAAAATTTGATGCGAAATATTGATTATATTCTCAAAATTTTAAAATAGTGTCTCATTCACTCATTACTTAAGTGACGTTTATAATGTACTCCGTAGATAACATATATATCAAATCTATAACTCTACTAATCTCATTAACTACTATTGTGTAAGTTACATATGAAATATTCAACTCATGTATTGTTTTAAAACTGATCCACCATTTTTATTCAGTATTTAGTCAAGATTTGACCCCCTTAAGTCGTTTTGCTGGCTCCGCCACGGAATATGGCTATGAATGTGTTATTTTATTTTCCCTTTTCTGGTACTACTAATTGTGACTCTTTTTATTAGTCATCTATCTGTTGCATCCTCATTTGTTCAGATATATTCTATATAATCCTACATGTTGTTCATGCAGTACAGAAACAGTGAAGTTGCTTACTAGAGAAGGTCAAGCAAAGATTGTTGGTACATTTGTCTGTGTTTCAGGTGCCATTGTGATGACACTGTTCAGAGGTCAGACTGTTCTTGGATATAGGGGATCAGAGTTCACAACTGCACAAAGTGAAATAAGTGCCATTGGTCAGCCCGAACCTTCTGGGTGGTTAATCTCTAGTTTCCTGGAATTGGGATTTGATAAATGGCACCTTGGCATGTTGTGTTTAATAGGAAACTGTATTTGCATGGCAGCATACCTAGCATTTCAGGTAGGTTGTTTAATTTATGCCTAGGTTAAAGGCTTAAAGCTTTTACGTAACTCAATGCCATTAAGTAGACAAGTAGTTTGGCGGACACACAAAACCCATCATAAGGTTTATCAGCCATTTCGGCCAGAAAACACTCTTTTTCTGTTCTTTTGCGGAAGCTGCTAATGTTAGGACTCCCTCAAAATAACAGTAAAACAGTATATTAATGATGAAATTCTGTGAGTAACAATGGCAGAAAACAAGGGAAAACAGAAAAGTAACAGGACTGATACGAGAACGCCCCCCTCTCCCAAGCAACTATCCAATTTCTGCCTACCCCTCTTATTCTCCCCTCTTCTTCTATTTATACTACTCCTGAATAACCGGCCCTCAAATACTTAGTTACCGGGCCTAGAACCATATTAATACAGTAACACTATTTAATATTATTCTATTATTCTTATTATTATACTAATATGCCTGGTTTCTATCATATCCCCCCTTAGACAACCACCTTGTCCTTAAGGTGGTTGATAGGAAACATCTCTGACCATCATCTTCATTCTTGTGCTCTTCCTTCCCAGTACCCCCTGATTGTTGTACCATGAGCTTCAGTAGTTTCACTGCTAGTCCCCTAGATTGAAAGCCCTTGTCCTCCCTCAGTGTTGCATGTCTCTAAGCTTTCAACCTATCCCTTGAAGGATGCTCGTCACTGAAAAACTCATACAGAACTTCATCTGCACGCATATCAAAAGAACGTTCAAGTGGATTTGAGTCTTTGTGCTGTGTTTCTCCATCTGCAGCAGTTATCTTTTGGATATAGCTGCCACCGGTCTTTCCAGCTGGTTCCACCTGAGTGATCCCTCACTACAGAGGACAAGTTCTCTCAATATTCTCCTCATATCAGTACTGGGGTCTGACAAAAGCCTTCCAATAACACATGGATATGCACTCTCTACCAATTTGAATTCAGGATCCAATACTTTTGCAGTTCCTTCTAGTAATCCTAGAGCTCGTATCACCAATGCATAGTTGGGATGAAGAGAGAAGTTGAATTCGTACATAAGCACATATAACTGATTCATTATAGACTGGAAATCCTGGGATTCTCTACTTCCATCACCAAATGATGTTTGCAGGGCATCTGCAATTGATTGTAGGTTAGCTCTTTCAGGAATGAAACCGAGAGAGGAAACCCTTTTCCAAACTCCTTGAAGTTGTAGCCTCATAATCTCCAGTAGTCACCCTTTCTAAATAAGCTTGAAGCATGACAGCTTTCAACTTATCATCTCTTGGCCATTTCAACTTCTGAAATAAACTACCTTCCTTCTTACTTTTTGACAACTCCTTCCATGTTCCAAGGTGTTCACTCATGTTCCATTGAAGGACATCCCATCGCCTAACATCAAATCTATCGTGCATTGCATTAGTCTCACCTCTCCTGATTCTGGAAATGCTCTTCTTTTAACAAACAAAAGGTGTTCGGGAGTTAACTGGCAGCTCATGGGCTGCACATCTTGATAGAGAGCAGGAAGAGCATGGGACGGGAACAGGCTTGGGCCCACTTCCGTGGGCCGGTTATGGCTGGGATTATAGTTTTATTTATTATTATAGAGTTTATGTTATGTTTTAAGTTTGGGCCTATTATTAGTAGAGTATTTAGTAGAGTTAATATGGACCTAATTAGGATTTACTCAATTTGGGCTCGATTAGGGTTTCACTTGAGTCTGTCATTAGAAGGTTATTTAAACCCCTTGTAGGATTCATTCTTCACCATCTTGGAATAAAGTTGGATTTCAGACTTTTGGCTTTAGGCAATGACTTCTATCATTGATTATCTGGGCAACGGTTTACCCCGTTGATTTTATTTTTTTGTTCTCAACAATTGATCCGACCAGTCGGATCCCGTCGTGCGAGAATGACGAGATCTCAGAATGATCGCCTGACAGAGATGGAGGCCGAGCAAACTCGGATGAATCAAACCTTAGAGGAGCAGGGCATGCGTCTCGCAGAGATCGTCGCATCCCTGGCAGCACTTACCATTGTGCTTGTTCCGCTGGTCACGACGGAATCAAACTCGGAAGCAGTCGACAACATCGCCGTAACTGCTCATAGCGGCGACGAACTACCATGCAGCATTGCTCCAACTTTTCCGCCGATGTTCAACGGGGGAAGACTCGATCGGGTGGATAGCTCGGGCTGAACAACAGTTCGAATTGAACGTAACCCTACCGGAGAAAAGGCGGCAGCCGCTGTGGTTGTCATTGAAGGTGAGGCCCTCTATTGGGTAACCTGGCTACGAGCACGCAAACCCGACATGACTTGGGAAGAATTTAAGCAAGCTTTGGTGACCAGATTCAACTCTTGGTTTTAGGGAAACAAGTTTGAACGACTTTCCGGCGCATAACAGATTGGATCAGTGGAGGACTACAATACCCTGCTTGTTTAATTAGCCATCCAAGTTTCGGGATTGTCGGATGATCAAAATTTGGGCAACTACATGAATGGATTGAAGGAATCAATCCGAAGCTCGATGCGATTATTTCGACTGAATAACTTGGAAGAGACCATGGAATTAGCTCGCGATGTGGAGCACATTCTGTCAGTTCAGAGTGGAGGAAGAGGCAGTCCAAATTATAATCCTACAGGGACATGTTCCAGCAGCTTTTCACGGCCAAACACGGGTCCTCCGTTGACTGCCAGTGGTGACAACATACAAGGATCGAATGACAGCTTCCCGAAAGATAGTGGGCAGCCCCCAAGGACAAAGTAAGAGCTGTCTAGGCTGTCTACTGCACGCTCTCAGTTCACTCGACTTTCGTCGAAGGAGTTTGAAGAATTGCAAGCAAAGGGATTATGCTTTAGGCGTAAGAAACAATTTACACCAGGGTATGACTGCCCCTTTAATCAATTATGGGTAATGATAGCTAATGAGGATGAAGAGTTGGACCTCCAACAACATGAGTATCGTGAAATAACCTGCCAGGAAAAGGTTTCAGAAAGGCCAAGAGGGTCTAGAAGGAGATAAAGGATATTTTACAGTCTATTCTATGGCTGAATATTTCAGCCCCTGATCTGCGAGATTTCAACCTTGATGACAAGGTTATTTTGAAGGAGGATTGATTGATAGAGAGCAGGAAGAACATGGGAAGGAACGGGCTTGGGCCCACTTATGTGGGCCGGTTATGGCTGGGATTATAGTTTTATTTATTATTACAAAGTTTATGTTATGTTTTTAGTTTGGGCTTATTATTATGAAAGTATTTAGTAGAGTTAATATGAGCCTGATTAGGATTTACTTAATTTGGGCTCGATTAGGGTTTCTCTTGAGTCTGTCATTAGAAGGTTATTTAAACCCCTTGTAGGATTTATTCTTCACCATCTTGGAATAAAGTTGGATTTCAGATTTTTGGCTTTGGGCAACGATTTCTATCATTGATTATCCGGGCAACGGTTTACCCCGTTGATTTCATTTTATTGTTCTTAACAATTGGTTCTTTTGTCGGATCCCGTCGTGCGAGAATGAGGAGATCTCAGAATGATCGCCTAACAGAGATGGAGGCCGAGCAAACTCAGATGAATCAAACCCTAGAAGAGCAGGGCATGCGTCTGGCAGCGATCGCCGCATCCCTGGCAGCGCTTACCAAGGTGCTCGTTCCGCCGGTCATGATAGAATCAAGCTCGGAAGCAGTCGGCAACATCGGCGTAACTGCTCATAGTGGCAACGGACTACCACGCACCATCGCCCTTACTCTTCTGCCGACGTTCGACGGGGAAGACCCGATCGGGTGGATAGCTCGGGCTGAACAACAGTTTGAATTGAACGTAACCCTACCACAGTAAAATGTGCCAGCCGTTGTGGTTTCCATGGAAGGTGGGGACCTTTATTGGGTAACCTGGTTACGAGCACGCAAACCCGACATGACTTGGGAAGAATTTAAGCAAGCTTTGGTGACCAGATTCAACTCTCAATTTATGGAAAACAAGTTTGAAAGGTTGTCCAGCGCCAAACTGATTGAATCATGGGAGGACTACAATACCCTGTTTGTTCAATTGGCCAGCCAAGTTCTAGGATTGTTGGATGATCAAAATTTGGGCTACTACATGTATGGATTGGAAGAATCAATCCGAAGCTCGTTGTGCTTATTTTAACCGAATAACTTGGAAGAAGCCATGGAATTAGCTCGTGATGTGGAGCACAATCTGTCCGTTCATAGTGGAGGAAGAGGCAGTCCAAATTATAATCCTACAGGGACACGTTCCAGCAGCTTTTCACTGCCAAGCACGGGCCTTCCGTTGAGTGCCAGCATATAGGGATTGAATGGCCGCCATGGTTTTAAAAGGCGTTTAGCCTTTACGCCCCTGAGGCGCAAAAGCGCAAAGGCGCTGTTCAATCGCACGTAAGGCTTAAGCCTTCCATTCCCGTAACAAGGCTTACGCCTTTTTTTCCTGATGCGTAGAATTGGGCGGTGGGCGCAAGGCTAAGACGAGGTGTACGCCTCAAATTAGAAGCAACTTGGGCTTATTTTTTTAATTTTTCGGGGCCTCAAATTTGTTTTCATCCTAAAGTCTAAAATACAAAATACCTGGGTCGGTTGTATATGACCTAGCGCCTAGGTCCTCGCACATCGTTGCTATTCCATTCGAAGAGGTGCTCTCTCAGTCGAAGCTCCAGTACAGACTAGAGAGGAAGGACTTCTGAGCTGTTAGTTACTCGTATAAAATATCCCACCGCCTAGTTTCTTATTGTGTATCTGCATTTATTCGTTAAGTTTTTTATTTATGTTTTAGTTATTTAAAAGTTCAGTTATGAAGTACTACGTACTTAATATTTATTCTGCCACAATATCAGGCTACAGTCTAATCTTTGTCCGTTTTTAATTAAGTTTTGGAACATTTATTTAAGTTTTTGAGTTTTTTATTTTAGTTTTTAGTTATTTAAAAGTTTCATTTTTGTGTTTTTTATCTTCGCTTGTTTTAATATTATTACTGTATTTATTATTAGCCTAAAGTTTAAACTT